TGCTCTTGCTCCTCTTGCTCTTGCTCCTCTTGCTCTTGCTCTTGCTCTTGCTCTTGCTCCTCTTGCTCTTGCTCCTCTTGCTCTTGCTCTTGCAACCTTTCCTTTCTTATCCATCCCCAAAACCTCACAATAATAGGACCATCACAGTATAATATAGTATACATTACATTTAAAAATTCCACGGTCTTTAAAAATTCAAACAACTTGGGCTGGAGAGATGGCTCAGCGGTTAAGAGCACTGACTGCTCTTCCAGAGGTCCTGAGTTCAAATCCCAGCAACCACATGGTGGCTCACAACCATCCGTAATGAGATTGGATGCCCTCTTCTGGTGTGTCTGAAGACAGCTACAGTGTACTCACCAATAAAATAAATAAATAAATATTTAAAAAAAAAATTCAAACAACTAAAAATGCAGTCCCTTTTAAAATTCAGAGTCTCTCAACTGTGGCCTCCTGACAAATAAAAAAATAATTTGCTTCAAGTGGGAAGAACCAGGGCACAGTCACAATCTGAACAAAACAAATCAAACTCCAAAAGTGTAAATAGCTCAGTATCCAATTATCTGAGATCCATTCACAATCTTGGGCTCCTTCAAAGGGCTTGGGTCACTTCTCTGGCTCCCTTAGCAGCACACCCAGCTTGTCTTCTAAGTTCAGGCCAGCCTCACTCCATTGCTAATGCTGTACTTGGTTGTCATCCCATGGTACTGGCATCTCCAGAATGCTGGGGTCTTCTGCTGCAAGTGGGCAGCACTTTTACCAATAGTCTTCTAGGCTTTCTTCATGGTACTGAGTCTCAACTGCTCTCTATTACCCCTTTAATCCTGGGGCTTCAACTGCCACTGCAGTTCACCAATGGCCTTCCCTGGCCTTTCACAGTGCCACGTGGGCCTTAGCTGCTCTTCATGATTTCTTCATGCCTTTAAAACCAATACCACCTGGGTGACTTAGCCTGCCATGTCTGGCTGCCAGTGTGAGGTACAGCCTTGGCTGCCTCTGGAATACAGCTTCTGTGTTCATTCTGACTCTCTGGAAACATTCCCCAGAAGACATCACCTCAGTGATGCTGGGTTCTTCTTAATCACTGCTAAGTTCTCAGCCCCAGTTGACTAGCATCAATTGTCCCAGTAAAGCAAAGGTTTCACTTTAGTAATTCTAGTTTTTTGTTAATCACAATCTTCCCACAAATGGCCCAGGAGAGTCTTTGCTTCCCTCTGAAACTTTACAAGCCATGCTTCCATCTTCAGGACTGTTTTCAACATGCTTATCTTAAAGCTCCAGTAGAACAGCCCACTAAAACTAAAGCTCTGCATGCTCACTGGCTTTTCTAGCCCCAAATGCCAAAGTCCTCCCATAATCCTCCCCAAAACTGCATGGTCAGATCTCATAGCAATACCTCACTATTCCTGGTATCAATATTTGTCCTAGTTAGGGTTTCTATTCCTGTGATGAAACATTATGACCCAAAAGCAGGTTGGGGAGAAAAGGGTTTACACTTCCACATTGTAGTTCATCATTGAAGGAAGCCAGGACAGGAACTCAAACAGGGCAGGAACCTGGAGGCAGGAGATGATACAAAGGCCATGTCAGGGGGGATGATGCTTACTGGCTTGTTCATCATAGCTTGCTCAGTTTACTTTCTTATATAATCTAGGACCTATGGGCTAAGGGTAGTACCACCCTCAAAGGCCTGGGAACTCCCACATCAATTACTAAATTAAAAAAAAAAAAAGGCAGGCCTGCCTACACAGCCCAATCATATTGAGGCATTTTCCTAACTGAAGCTCCATCATCTCTCTCTAGTGACTCTAGCTTGTGTCAAATTAACATAAAAATAGCCAGCCTGGTGGCTTGTGGTAAACTGCTTGCTACACAGCATGAGGACCTGAATTAAAATCCCCAGTACCTAGATAAAAAGCTGGGCATCTTGATGTCTTTGACTCCAGTGCCAAGAGGGTAAAGACAAGCAGATCTCCAGAGCTTGCTGACCAACCAGTCCAGCTAGTCAATATACTCCAGGATGAGTGAGAGACCCCTGTTTTACAATAGAATAGAATAAAATAAAATAAAATAAAATAAAATAAAATAAAATAAAATAAAATAAAATGGAGAAGCAATTGAGAAAGACTTAATGTTGTTGTCTGACCTTGGCATGCATAATGTCCATAAGTACACATACATAAAGAGGTATATATCACATGCAACATTAACGACAAATCATCAATTTAATCCAGGAGGGGTCTAATAGGTTTATAACACTCTACATTTATTGCCTAGATATTTGTTTAATGTGCTAATAACTCGTTTACCTCCATCTAGGGTTTAAGCCTCTCTAGCCCACTCTTTTAACTCCTTTCATAGTCATTCTCTCTAATTTCATACCACACTGCAGATGTATGTCTCCATTCCTCATCCATGTTCTTAGGGGGGGTTTTATTCTCATTTTCCCTCCCCTGCCAGTCCAGTCTTAGTATCTGAGGAAATTTTATTTGTTCTTCTTGACCCATTTCCTATATACTTACCTCCTTAGGAAGTTTGTCTTTATGCTGATTGTAGGAAGGTTGTTCCTACCTTCCTTGTGTTCTCTGTGCTTGTTCCTAGTTTCAGTTTTTAGGCTGAATTGAGATAGAATAAAAACCATAAATGTTTACAAAGAATAAAGTGTCCCACCTTCAGAGAATTCCCCTAAAGTATTAAAGGAAAAGTTTAGGGCAGATGAAAATAAAACAAAACCAGAGAGATCTGCCTGCCTCTGCACCCTGAAGCACCTGAATCAAAGGCATGCAACATCATGCACTAGGGCTCTGAATGTGCTGTTTTAATCACTAATGGCACTTTTATGTCAATCTTGTTGAACCTGATTCAAATTTAGATTTCATTTCATTTAAATCTTATTTATTATGTGCTAAGACCTAAGTACGATGCTGAACTCAAGATGAAACCTTTTGTCTAGATACAGGAAGGCCTTCCAGCTTAGATGTGGGGGAACAGACCAGGCTGCTCTTGGTAGAGCTCCAGCATTGGAAAGGAAATACCAAGACTTGGATTTACACTCTTCCTGTCCTGTAGAGTTGGGCTGTAGACGATGATATTCTAAAGTTGTTTTTTCTCTCCATAGTACTGGATGAACGAATACACCTCATCTATTGGAATTGGAGTTTTTCATTCAGGAATTGAAGTATATGGCAGAGGTATGTCTGTACATAGCTTAAATATGTTTACTGAGGATTCTGCCAGCTTACAAAAATACAGAATTATGATGTTAGGTCTTTTTCTTTGTCTCTTTTCTTTTAAGCAATTTACATATGTTATTGTAAAAAGTAGATTAAAACTCCTGGCTGGCTGGGCGGTGGTGGTACACGCCTTTAATCCCAGCACTTGGGAGGTAGAGGCGGGCGAATTTCTGCGTTCAAGGCCAGCCTGGTCTACCGAGTGAGTTCCAGGACAGCCAGAGCTACACAGAGAAACCCTGTCTCGAAAAAACAAAAAAAAAAAACAAAACAAAACAAAAAAAAACCAAAACTCCTGCATTTGTTTATACTGTTCCGAAAAATGCCTGTGGTAGAATGTAAGAGGGTACATTTGTTTCATTGTCTTTTTTTTTTTTAATTACTATGTCTTCAAAGACATTTTCTTAACCAGGTGTGGTTGTGGCACACACTTTTAATCCCTGTATTCAGGAGGCAGAGACAGAGAGATTTTTGTGCATTTGAAGCCACCCTGGTATACAAAGTGAGTTCCAGGACAGGGAGAGCTACATAGTAAGACCCTGTCTCAAAAAAACAAAAAACAAAACAAACAAACAAAAAAAACCAAAAAAACAAAGAAGCCTTTTTTATGAAATTGTTAGACCATGATTGTTTTTCCTTACTATGTATAAGAGTTTCTGAGGGGCCGGGCTGTGGCAGCGCATGCCTTTAATCCCAGCACTTGGGAGGCAGAGGCAGGCGGATCTCTGAGTTCGAGAGTTCGAGGCTAGCCTGGTCTACAGAGTGAGTTCCAGGACAGCCAGGGATACACAGAGAAACCCTGTCTCGAAAAACCAAAACAAAGAAAAAAGTTTCTAAGGAACTTCTACACTTTCAAAAACTGCATAACAAAAACAATCATTTTAGTTAATAGACATGTCAAATTTGATATTTATTTATTTATTTTATTGATGAGTACACTGTAGCTGTCTTCAGACACACCAGAAGAGGGCATCCAATCTCATTACGGATGGTTGAGAGCCACCATGTGGTTGCTGGGATTTGAACTCAGGACATCTGGAAGTGTAGTCAGTGCTCTTAACCGCTGAGCCATCTCTCCAGCCCCCGACATGTCAAATTTGAAATAGCAATTTTCTGAGAGTGTTTCAGTAGAACATTTGACTTGGCAGGCCTGTGAACATCAATGAAGTCTAAACATTGTTGAGCATATCTTGCCTTCAGGAATGTCTAGCATTTTTCTCAGTTATAGTGATACATCATTGTGAATTATAAGCTTGCCTTTTAGCAAAAGGTCATGGATTTGCATGAGCTAGGCGGTCTTTGTAACCTAGAATATGTTATCTAGTTTACCCAGGGTAAACTACCTACCTACCTGTTCACTAATTTTAAAGAAAAACTCCACTTAAGTAACTATTTCAGTGTCAAGTTTCTGCTGCCTTTGTGTAGGAGTGGGGAGGTACTGACAATTGAATCCAGAACCTCACACTTGCTAAAATAGGCGCTGTGCCTCTGGGCTATTTCCCTAGCCCCTGTCTTTTTTTTTTTTTTTTAATTAGTTGCTTCCAGCTGCAGTTGAGCATATTCAATCTTGGCTATAAAGATTTGTCATTTAGGCTTTACTTTACTTGAAATAGAAATGGTCATTAACCCTAAGAAACAATGAGGGGCTTCAGCTGAAGTCTTCAGTGATTAGAATATTACAGTAGGTGGGATTATAAGGCTGTAGGTTTCCTACCTGGCCTTTGTCTAAGTTGTGTTACTCCTTTTTAGTTAAATCTAAATGTTATGGTTTCCATAGTGCTGTGAACTTTGCAACCATATAATCATGCTATAAGGTAAGAGACTGCCTTTTTTTTTGTAAAAAGTAATTAGGTTCTTACCTGTCATCATTCATACTGCTAATAACTAATAGAACTAGGATTTGAATTCAGATATTCTTACATAGGTCAGTGCTCCATACCTGTATAATCTGTACTCCCCCTCATAAAATAATTTTAAAATAAAAACATGATTCAAAACATGTTTATGAAAACTCAGAGAAATTATAATTGTTTCTTGTATAAAAGTAAATAAATAAATGTAATAAAAGGACCTATATCTCCCATTACTATACTTTAAGAAGTTAAAAATCCAAGCCTGAAGCCAGATGGCGGTGTCACACGCCTTTAGTTCCAGCACTTGAAGGTAGAGGCAGGCAGATCTCTAAGTTAAGGACTGCCAGGGCTACACAGAGAAACCCTGTCTCCAAAAAAACAAAAAACAATGATTCTTACCAAATCCAATCTCAATACATATGATATTTTAATTAAAAGTTATATAGAAAATTTACTGATCTTAAAGAGATGCAGGGTATGGTGGTATATATGTGGTTATATCCCAGCCGCTTAGGAACCTAAAATAGGATTGTAGGTTTGAGGCCAGAATGAATCCCTACCTGAAGACCAAATAGACAAAGTTTAGAGCAGGCATAAAAGTGGATACCTACAATCTCAGCATTTAGGGAGCAGAGACTGGAAAACTGCAAGTTCAAAGCTGGCCTGGGCTGCATAGTCGATCAGGTCAGCTTAGGGCACCTAACCAAATCCTTTGTTTAAAAAGAAAAAGTAGTTAGTTTATATTTCAGAGTTAAGTGCTAAGCACCCTAATCTGCATCATTTGTTAAAGATGTCTACAGAATGTGTGAGTGACAAGCTAAGCTTGGAGCTTCACGGTTAAGAGTACTTTCTGCTATTCCAGAGGACCAGAGCTCTGTTTTCTTGGGTGTGGAGGTGGGGGCTGCAGTTAATAGCTGTCTGGGACTCTAGCTCCAGGGCATCCATTGTTTTCTTCTGGCCTCTGCAGGTATCAGCATATACTCAGTGTCATATACATCTAGACACACACACACACACTCAAATAAAATTTAAATGAGAAAAATTAAACCTCATCTGCCTTGTTCTTTCCTATGTTTTGTCTTAAAACGTAAGACAGTATATTTAAAAAATCTATCCATTGAAGTATTTTGAGACAGTCTTGCTATGTAGCTCTGACCCATCTGGAACTCAAATTGTTGACCAAACTGTCTTCAAGTTTAGTAATTCCCTGCCTCCACTTCTTTAGCAGTTAAGTTATAGGCATGTACCAACATGTTGGTTATTTAGTAAATCTTAATTGATAGGGTTAATTTAAGAATTTGTTTAGAATTGGTTATTCTACTAAGATTTTAATACTTAATATCTAAATGAGATACCAGAATTGAAGCCAGAAATTTTGGTTCTTTCTTGACTTGAAACTATTTGCATTTGTGTTGTAGATGTGCACATAAGTACCTGTATTTATTTAGCCAGAAGTATCTGTATTAGGTGAACGTACAGATAGTGCCCTCCTAGCTATAAGACTTACTTGCTGTGAAGAATATGGGGGTGGCTGTATATTAATAGTTGGCATCTTACTGTGTTTCAGGTTTGATGTTTGTTTTGTTTCAGACAGGGTCTCGGTTGATATATAGTTCAGATTTGCCTGGAACTCACTAGGAGTAGCCCAGTCTTGTCTAGAACTCAACGATCTTCCTGCCTCCTGAGAGCTAGGAATACAGACATACACACCATGCTTGGTACAATAATGTTACTCCTAACTCAGTATAAATCTGAGTCTTCCAGGTTGAGTGGATACATGCAGCCCAGTGCAGAGCACACCAAAAACAAAACAACACTCGTCTCAGTTTCTCCAGTCGGTGTAGTGTCCAGTAGGCCAGGTCCTGAGCTGCTGGCCACTCTCCTGCCAATGTATACTCAGAGCTGTATACAGAGAAGTCACAAGCATTTTGAAGTGTAAGTGTTAGCATTTCAGGCCTTTAAAGACAAATAATCTGTGTGAGTGATACATAAACAGGACCTTGCAAAAAGCACTTTATATGCTGAAAAATATTCAGGTTATATTATTTTGTAGTATTTTAAGGCTGATTTAGCATTCTGGTCACATTCTATGCAATACATACTAAAATTTTGCCTTGTATCTTTTCAGAATTTGCTTATGGCGGCCATCCTTATCCTTTTTCTGGAATATTTGAAATTTCCCCAGGAAATGCTTCTGAGCTAGGAGAAACATTTAAATTTAAGTAAGTAGGGAGGGTAATTTCTACTACATTGTTGTAGGTGGCAGAGCTTGTTTTGGGGATATAAAGAATTCATCCTGTACGTTAAAAATTTAGAAAATTGGGCCCTATCTCCCTAGAGGTGGCTCAGCAGTTAAGAGCACTGACTGCTCTACCAGAGGTCCTGAGTTCAATTCCCAGCAACCACATGGTGGCTTAGAACCATCTGTGATGAGATCTGATGCCCTCTTCTGGTGTGTCTGAAGACAGCACCATATATATATATATATATATATATATATATATATATATATATATATAATCTTTTTTAAAAATTTAGAAAATTAAATAGTCTTAAATTCGGTTTAATAGCTGATATTTTGTTTTTAAATTAGATTGAACTGAGTTGTTATATAAAAATGGAAAATCAAATAACGTCTGAAAAAACCTGTCTTGTTTTTGTTCAGGATCTCTTAAGTCATTTTTTTGTCTGCTTCTTAAATATAATTGTCTTTATTTAGCTTACATTCTGCCTTAGGAAACTCGTTGCCTAAGGAGCTCCTGCCTAGGTTCCCTATTTCAGAGGGAGAGCAGACAAGCTGGGATTTTTATTATGACCTACTATAAAATCTCTTTATTTCTCCAATGAAGGAATCACTTGTAAATTCAAAATAACTGAACAGATTAACCTGGAAACTGGTATCGATAGCATCAGTGCAGTGGAAAGCCTAAACCAGCAGGGTATCTCTGGACCTTTCTTTCTTAGTCTTTTTATTCCTTAATTGTTACATCTAAAATGATGTTTAACGTCTTCATTTCAGGAGACCTTAAAGAAACTTCTGGGTCTGTACTAGTGAATTTGCCCAGGATAAAACAGATAATAAATTCAGAACATGGCTATAATACTTCTGAGTGCATAGCTCTCATGACTCAGCGCTGAATTAAAACGTGTGTATAACAGTGACAGATAAAATGGCACAAACTGTGCCAGATAAAATGATTTTCTAATAATTTTTAGGTTATTTTTACAACTAGCTTATATCTAAAATTCTGCCTTTTATTGAATATTATCTGCTAAATTTTGCAGGCAATATATTGAAGTGTTTTTATTTGATGTTTTGAACAATGTTTTAAAGTGTGGTCAAGTCTTACAACTTGCCTCACTGCAGCACAAGAACAGTTACTGCCAAAGAGTTTTTCTTGATGAAAATATGGCTAGCCCCAGTATTTAGCAGGGATATTTTTAGCTTTGAATATTATTCTCTAATAATATGTTTCATAAAGCAAAGTGGAAACTAAAATCATTGAAATTTTTAAGTATCTCACCTTTCGTCTGAATATGTTAGCCCTAATTTATTTATTCTACTATGCCTGAAAATAAGCAAGTGTTTGTTTAATTATGCTTATTATAAATAAAACATATGCACAAAGCTCACACAATTTTGTTTTGTTTTGTTTATTTTGGATTTTTTTGTTGTTGTTCTTTAAGAGAAGCTGTTGTTCTAGGGAGTACGGACTTTCTAGAAGATGATATAGAAAAGATTGTAGAAGAGCTGGGGAAAGAGTATAAAGGCAATGCCTACCATCTGATGCACAAAAACTGCAATCACTTCTCTTCAGCTTTATCTGAGGTAAATTTAGTTCCTTTGGTTGGTTGGTTTGTTTTAGTTTTTTTTTCTGTTTTTATTTTTTCAAGACAAGGTTTCTCTGTGTAGTTCTGGTTGTCCTGGAATTCACTCTGTAAACCAGGCTGGCCTTGAGCTCACAGAAATCTGCCTGTGCCTGTTTCCCTCATGCTGGGATTAAAGGTGTGCACCTCCACCTCTCAGCGCAATTTCATTCTTAAAAGATCTTCACAGAACACTTTCTGTATCGCTGTGTTCAACCTTGGTGTTTTCCCCCTAATTGTTAAGTGCATAAAATTACTGTATTTCTTTATCCAATGTGGCTGATCTTTCCAGAGATGACTGTTTTAGAGTCAGCAGAGTTTAGGCAGTGATTCTGGTCATTCTTTGTAGAGGGTAGAATGATTACAGAAAATTGCCTTATTATTCATCAGCCTCCATCCTATGTTAGCCTTCTGTAACTGTGGCAGATACGTGAGGAAAAGACAGATTTCCATTCATAGTGGAGTGCCGTTGTTTGGGATCTCTGGCCCCAGTTTGTCTTTGTGAGGACTACACAGAACAAAGCAGTTCACCATATATCACCAAGAAAGGCTGGGGAAGGAGCTGCTGTCCAGGGTCCTGTCACCCCCAACCTCCCTTCTAAGTGCTATACCTTTCAGTAGTGCTTGCTATACCTAAGCTAGCAACTACACTTAGTACACAAGCCTTGAGGCTATGTTTAAGATTCAAACCATAACACAATAAAATTTTCTTATTTCTTTTCTTTTTTTGGCTTTTCAAGGCAGAGTTTCTCTGTGTAGCCCTGGTTGTCCTGCTCTTCAAGACCAGGTCATGAAGTCAGAGATCTGCCTGCCTCTGCCTCCTGAGTGCTGGGATTAAAGTTCTTTGCCATCATACCTGGCTTTTATTGTGTTTTTTTGTATACATGATGTTTTAGTTAATTTTTAATGCAGTAAAACACTGTGATTGTGGCAACTCAGAAGGAAGGGCTTGCTTGGCTTATGGTTCCAGAGAGTCAGAGCCCATTGCAATAGAGTAGCACAGCGAAGCACAGCAGCAGTCAGCATGACAACGGGAACTGGATGCTGCACGCTCACATCATGTACCACAAGCTCCAAGCAAGGAAAAAGCACGTTGTGGGTAGGCGAGGTGTTAAGCTCTAAACCCACCCCTGTGGCATAGTTCCTCCAGCAAGGCCGTACCTCCTGAGCCTTGCTCAACACTACTACCAAACCACTAAGCGGACTAAGTATTCAAGTACCCAAGACTATAAGGAGCATTTCTCATTCAAACCATTACCCATAAACACCTTAATAATGAAATGTAACAATAAAAAAACACACCATAACACTAAACAGATATGCAGATAGTTATACAGATATAGTCTTTTTTTTTTTTTTTTTTTTTTGGAACAGGGTGGCTTTGAACTCACAGAGATTTGCCTGCCTCTGCATCCCAGGTATTGGGATTAAAGGCGTGTTCCACCAGGCCCATCATGTTACAGTCCCTCTTAAAAGCATTCTTTAGACTAAAGTTGACAAATTAGAACTGAAACTGTAACAGTAAAACCACAGTAAAGGGGCCATTTATGTCCTAGAGGTCATTCAGCAGCAGTATATAGAAATGTTTCTCTCTCTTTTTTTTTTGGTCAGTTGAACAGTCCTCATGAGACAGTGTAATATATTCAACTAATTACTTACTGCTGGCTTCAGAAGGCAGAGAAAGGCAGATCTCTGTGACTTTGAGGCCAGCCTTGTCTATATAGCAAGTTCCAGGCCAGCTAGGACTATGTAGAGAGACTCTGTCAATCAGTCAATCAATCAATGAAATTAGAATTTATTTTGATTTATAGTTTAGTTCAAGTGCAAGTCCCGCATGGCAGCAAGAATCTGGGACGGCTGATTACACTACATTCACAGTTGGAAAGGAGAGAGAAGTAGGCCCTGGCACTCAGCTCATTTTTTCTCTTTTGTTTGATATCCTGGACTCCAGTTCATGAGTCGTGCAGTCCACATTTGGGAGAGGGGGTTCCCTAACCTAAACAATCTCTCAAAGACATGCCTAGAGTTTTATGTGTTTGCTTATCTTCTGTTTATCTTATAAAGTTGACAATATTAACTTTCATGAATTTACTCCTTGTTGCATTCATACTCAAACTCCTTGTCCCATGAAGCTCACAGCATTTCATAATGCAAAATGCATTCAGTCCAACTTCAAAATAGTCCCTAGTCTTTAGCAGTTCCAACACTGGTTAAAAGTGTAACTCTAATCTCTTAACTGTGAGCTCTTCTCACATAAAATCAAGTTACTTACTTACAGCATACAGTGGAGTGGTTCAGAGTAAACATTCTAGTTTAAAATGAAGCATAACAAGAAATAATCAGACCAAAGCGAGACCAAAAGCCATCATGGAAAACACCAAATTCCACAGCGCCATCTCTGGCATTTAGAGCTCCTGTTGGACCCATTTGTGACCTAAAGGGCTTGGGTAGACCCACTCCCCCAGCTCTGTTGCCTCAGCACATATATTATCTCTTGTGCCAGTTTCACTTCATGCATGTAGCTTTCCTTAGCAAACAGCCATGATTCTAGCATCTCCAACTAACTGGGCTCTCCATTGCAAACTAGGGTTCACCTTCACAGCTTCCTACAGGTTGGCCTCTCAGGGACTCCTACCCTGCCATACATTGCCTGTCCTCCTCAGCTTTCTAAAACCACAGTATAAGACTCCATGATCCACACAGTTAAACAGCTTATGCCTGAGGAACCAGCCTTATGTGGAGCGTATTACCAGGTTCTGCTGCCAGCTCAGGATGCAACTTGCCCCCTTGGACCGCAGATGTACTACATGGAGTCAGGCAGCATAGTGAGAGAAATCTTGGTGCTGAGTTTCCTTTCTCCTTTTTGTGCAGTGTCTTGGACTCCAGCACGTGAATGGTGCTGTCCTTATTGAGGGTATGTCTTCTCACTTCAATGATCTAACCTGCTAGATAATCCCTCACAAACCTGACCAGAGGCTTTTCAGTGTTGTGGTTGGTCCAGTTGGCAACATTATGCATCACACAGTATAAACTAAATACTATCTGATGAATAGCCATAGTAAAACAATGTTAGGACCCTGTTTATACAAATGCACAGAAATAAGCCTCATACACTGTTAATAGTTTGTCTCATCTTTTAAAAATCTGGTTACAATGCTAAATAACCTACTAATGGGCTTTGACCCAGGGTTTTAAACTCTTAGGAGTTAAGAGCACTGGCTGCTCTTCCAAGGAGACCAAAGTTCAATTCTCAACAGCCACATGGTAATTCACACTCCAGTTTTAGGGAATCTGATAGGTGCTAGGTAATCAAAAATGGTCAGAACATATTACCTGTCCATAAGTGAAGCCACCTCATTTTCCTTTTAGCTAAAAGAGAAAAAGGATTAAGGGATACTGCTGAATCTTAAGGGGAAAGTGTTACACAGTTGCCAGCTTTTTAAATGTCAACTACTTCTTTGATGTAAGAAACTTTGAAACCTCTAATATTTTCAAATATTTTAAAATACTAGTTTCGTATCACATGAACATAATCTTTAGTATAACTAGAGACAAACCATCAAAGTGACAGTGGAGCGTGGATTCAGTTGAGACCACATTTTGTGTGTGAGAGAGTCAAGATGATAAGAAGGTAAAGTCAACATTGTAACTGAACTGCCTCTCACTCTCTGAAATAAAAGGAACAAGACTCCCCAGTCCCAAGGACCTGTAAGAGTAAGAAGCAAGCAGAGAAATGCAGCAGGTTATCAGCCAAGAAAGAGTCCAGCTGACACCTACTTGTGCCCCCTCGAGTCCTCAGGCCAAAGGCTAGCCAGACCTCCATGCCTTGTCCTGACTGTAGTCCCTCTTCTGCCGGATATCATGGAGCTTGTCTTCATTTGGGGACTCTTTCTGAACCATATGAGATTCCTTGAAACAAATGGGTCATGGTTGAAGGCAAAGATACAGAATGCAGCTGAGAGGAAATTGGGGTGGTAGAAACTGGTATCGATAGCATCAGTGCAGTGGAAAGCCTAAACCAGCAGGGTATCTCTGGACCTTCCTTTCTTAGTCTTTTTATTCCTTAATTGTTACATCTAAAATGATGTTTAACGTCTTCATTTCAGAAATGAAATTGGGGTGGTAGAAACTAGAAGACAGTATAAAAGAACCTAGAAAAAGAATTAACAAGAAGATACTCAAGACTGAAGTAGGCTTCTCTACTCTAATAACATCTTGTACTAACAAGCCTCTTTCCTTCTGTACTGTTTAAAAGTAATTTTACATGTTTCAAAGTAGCTCAGGGGTCTAAAACAGACAGAAGCCAAGGAGAATTGGCTTGACTTCACAAATGTAAAAAGTACACAGCTGAAAGAAAGAAACAACTGGGACTGTGGAACTGTCCGGCTCCTGAGTTAAGGCACTGTTTCTCAGCAGCCTAGAGTGGTCTGCAGTGCATCGTCTCTACAGCCACCTACCCCTTAATAGTACCATCAGCACTGATCTCTTCTTCCTAACACAGAGCTCTCTCCTCCTTAGATTCTCTGTGGGAAAGAGATTCCTCGCTGGATCAACCGGCTGGCCTACTTCAGTTCCTGTATACCCTTTCTACAGAGTTGCCTCCCAAAGGAGTGGCTCACTCCTGCTGCATTGCAGTCTAGTGTCAGCCAAGAACTCCAGGATGAACTGGAAGAAGCAGAGGATGCAGCCACATCCACTGCCGTGGCTAGTGCTTCAGCTGGTGCCAGAACTGGGCGTCACACTAAACTATAAGACCTCTGAAGTCAGGCCTTCAGAACTGTCTCTGGCAGTTGAGTATCATTAGAGAAAAAGAAAATAGAGTAAATGTCCTTTGGATATTTTGTATGCAAAGATGGCTCTCCCCCAAATCCCAGTTTTTCAGCTCAGGATTATATTTGTAATCAAAAACAAAAAAGAAGAAAACTCACTTGGCACAGGAGGGAGAACTTTGTATGAAGCTGCCCTCTTTTCTTTTCTTTTTAACCCACTTGTAAATTTGGACTCACTCCCTCTGTTTTATACGATCTCTGTTAAATTACGTTTACAGTATTTTGTACCACTGTTTACAAATCTTGCATGGATTCTGCTACCGTGAAAGAAGAATATCCTCATCTTCAAAAATTAGGCAGATCACCTTTGTACACTTCCTGACAGTTGCCAGAGCTACAGCATAACAGTGGGCACAAGAAGAGGCTTTCTCAGCTACAGCTCTGGCCACCTGCTTACGCATTGTCCCTTAGATTTGTGTTTGTTTTGTTACCATTTTGGCGCCCAGATACAAGAATCCAAACTGGCCTGACACGAAGGAGCACACTCACAGCCAGGGGGCTTGGGTCCTGGGTCAGTTCCTCTCCACACGCTTCTTCCCATTCTGCGTAGCACATTTCCCAAGGTGCCCATGGAGCAGCTGGTTTCATCCCGAATATGCCCACCTCATCAGGGTGGTATTCTTATCTGCCTGGCTTGATGCCTCTGATTCTTTAGTGAAGATGTTTTCATGGAAGATACTCTTTTAACTGATGAGTGTTTTTTGCACATGTGTTAGGAGAGGGGCTTCATTTTTATTTTAATACACTCTAAACTCCTCCCCTGTACAGGATATTTTTGGTGGAGTGGGGGTATCCTAACCTAGCTTCCTGAGTAGCAGTACAAACTGACATCAAAATGCTTTTTAACTAGCCAGGCTACCTTTTATACTGGACATTGAAAACTAGAATCTAAAACACACCCCAAAGGTAATTCTTTAATATTTAATACTTTGTGTATACCATATCAGAAACAGCTTGTTGGAGTTTCTTAGTTCATGATTGGAGTAGTTGCACCTCATAATAGAGATTCTATTTTCATTGATATCTTGTTGAAAAAAATCATATTTTTGTGTGTCTTAAATTCATCTTTTTATGTTCTCAAATGTACGTCTCTTACATGACATACTCTTAGGAATGAAGTTGTGCTACAGATAAGTCTTGAGTAAGGAAGTCATCTGTTAAGAGTCCAGCCCCAGCTGACCCTTGGATGTAGAACCAACCATTATATGTCACAGTGTTCTGCCTTAAGAGTGAGTGTTCTGTGTAAGTAGTGGATGCAGCATAGAAACCTCCAAGGTACTGACTGCAGCTTTAGCTACATGGATAGTGTGAGAGTCACATTCTCTAGGTGAGGATACATGTCTTTGAGTAAATTACATCTTTCACTTTTCCATGAGCTGATTTTGATTGATACTTATTAATGTAAGCACACCCTCTTTATAGGGAAAGTAAACCTTGGGTTATTTAACACTAACCTAAGGAAAATGAAGTCACTTTGTGCTGTTTGACTGTTCTGTTTCCAGAAAAGAAAGCTGCTGCAAATTACTCTGCCTCAGGGGTGGGGGTGGGGCAGAGCATTTGTTTCAGGAACTGTGCAGCAAGACAGAATATGGTGGTCTTTTTGAAGAGTTGACTTAGTTCAGGTCTGAAAATGAGACTTAGGACAAAACACTAGTGCTCCCAAGAGGTGTTCACTACAAGAGCCCAAGCCCTCAGCCCAGCTTAGTAGGAGGTGCTTGGTACAGTTGACTTGGTTTTTTGTTGTTGTTGTTGTTGTTGTTGTTCTTTTGTTTGTTTTTTATTAATAGTGTGGATCATGGTGTTTTCTAATCCATTGAGATATGTTTTGACCCAAGGGACTGGCCTGTCAGTTAGACATTTCTGGGTAAATAGCCAGGAACATCTCTATGCTCACCCACATTTCAGCAGCTCAGCACACAACTGACTTGCTATTCTCATGTCTGACTGTGATATTTGAAGTTTGAAATAGTGTAAAAGTCTTCTAGGAAATTAACAATGCATGTTCGGGTCACCTGAAAGTCAGGACACAAGATTCCTTGCACTTTAGTGTACCTGAGGTTGAGAGGAAGGAAATCTCATTTAGTGAGGCCTTCTCTACACTGCAAATTAAAAATGGGTTAATTAACTTTGCTTTTCTTGCCCTCAGAAGAAAGCACTCTTGTTCTCAACATGAACTCATAAGAAAAACCCCAAGTCAGAACTCTAGTCATGAATTTTCATGTGATCCATGGAGTCAGATACAGCTTTTGTAGTTGTAACCAAGTGAAACTGTTTCTCCTGATAGGTATCTGAACTATAATAGCAGTAAAAGATCAGATAGCTGGTTTCTGGTGCTTGTTTTAAATATGCTTGGGCTTTTTAAATCCTCATTGGGGGCATTGGCTTTAGAAGTGTGACTTGTGGGGCTGTAGAAGGTGGTGATTGTCCTAGAGCACCTCCAGGTCTGAACTCCAGCCAACTGTTGCTCTGACTCAAAGCAATAGCATACCTAGCCATCACCAGCATCTTACAGAGCAGGGAATTCCAGGGTTAGTTCATTGATAGCCGTGTGTGTGTGTGTGTGTGTGTGTGTGTGTGTGTGTGTGTGTGTGTG